GCCTCAGCTGTGAGCAAACAAAGCAAGCTCCAAGGCCATGTGCTTCTACGCAGCCGGCCATGTTGGAATGCCTGTGAATTACTAGAAGTGTTGGCATTTTTGTCTCAATGTGGTTTTATTTCGCTTTGGGCAGAGAGAATGTAAGTCGTGCATTGCTACGGATTCCGGCGAGGTCGTTATTTTGTGGCCGAATAGAGCGCTGCAGGAATTATGTATTTTTAAAGGCCAAGACCCAGAAATGAGTTTGCATTTTAGCAGTTTTGACATCATCCTCAAGTCAATGCATGGTTTTGAATTGGTTAAATGTCTGAAATAAGGTCTGTGGTGAACATAAGCTCAATACATTTTCATGTTTTAGTGTACAACAGCAATACACATTTTGTATCATTCATTCCCTGGGAATTGAACCTATACTCTACTGTTAGAACAACAGGGATGCCTAAATACAAGAGTTTGCACTTCATAAAGTATAGAACAAAAAGTTTTTGCATTTCTTAAATAATTTGAAGGTGATGAGTTTGAAAGTTGGTGTTTAAAAAAATTATACAATTGCACAAAGCAAAAGGATAGGCTTTATTCAAGCTGTAGTATTGCAAAAAGTTATGTATTTTTAGCACTTCTGGTTCAATCATTCAGAATGCATTGATTTATAGTTAAATGCCTGAAATAAGGCCTGTATCCTCAGGATATTTTTACGTTTTATTCTATGACATAAAATACATCAGTAATACACCCGTGAGGATTTTTATTGATCTTAAAAAAGGCAGTTGCTAAAAAGCGGCTAAATGGGACTACACAGGTTGTCGAGGGCATTAAACAACATCATGCCGATCAGGTAAACTCATCTGCACACTAGTCGCTTTGACAGCCTCGTTGTGTTCAAAAATCACACTCTTGCATGCGATTTTAACTCAAACTTTCAGGGAAAATGTGTTTTAAATAATGAAAGAGTTGTCGGAAGCATAATGTTTAAGCTATGCATAGGCTTTTTACGTCTGACTATTGTATTTAGGCTTCACTGGTGAAGATTTGATGATGAACAGAAAGTTTAAGAATCATAAGCCTTTAATGGTCACAGAGCTTATTTTCTGCAATAATCCAAAAGCTAATGAAAAAATCCCACTGGGTTTTTGTTGAGGGAACCAGGGTGAAGCAAACTTCCGGGTTGGCCTATAAAAATAAGTTCAGCACTTCAGCACTCTTGAGTTCACGGCAAAATATATATCACAGAAACGGTACCACACACGTGCATTTGCAGATCCGGTGTGCGATATGTTACAGCAACTCTGCAGAAACGTTATCTGTTATGTTCATTGCAGGAAACATTTCAAGAGCTAAACGACCCAAAGGAGATGCTAAAGCGACCAGCACAAGACTTTATTCCTCGCTTTACTCCCAATTTGCTCCTAGTTTTGAGAGCTGGTCTACTGTAACTTAATTGCTTTTCCTTTCTAACAGCTTTTATGTTTTGTCACCTGTATCAGACCATCACAAAAGCATAAATACATGATGGTTCAGTCTGCAGTATTTACCGTAACCATACATGGGCCACTGGCAAAAAAACTGAGCACAATGTAGATGAAATCTAAAGACATCTGGAGTAAAGAACCCGAATGAACTACCCGAGGCACTCTGGACCCAACAGCTTACTCCCAAGGCAAAGATAGATTTGGGGAAGCGTTTATTTAGGCAGATTGGCTTTGCGACTGAGGGATTTTTTCCTGTCCAAATGAAAACCAGTAGCACTCAGTTTAAAGCCTCCATTCATTTTGCATAATGTTCCCAAGGTTGCTCTTTTTCATTTCTTGGATTTCCGTGCCAGTATAATTCAATTTCTCAATCCAAGCCAAATATTTGCAGTGTGGCCTACATTTCCACACTGAGCTGCGTGCAGGTTGGCGGCATGGGCACTTATGCATTCCTCTGACACACAGTTATGGGCCGAAGAGATGACTGACAGCTGAGCTTTGCCATACACCTTGCCATGATACCGTGCTGTTGTAACTTTCTTGTAAGACTTTGCTCTTGTCTTTCATGAATGACTTGTGTTTCACTCTCTAAATTTTACAGGAAAATGCTTTTAATGAGATAGTACACTTAAAAATATACATTTTGCCAACTATACTCACCCCCATGTTGCTGCAAATACTGTATTGTTTCTTTCTTCCAGCAGCTATATATTTCTGCAAAAAGATGGATGGATGGATGTTTTTGAACAAATAAGTTGTGGAAATTACTCAATGATTCTTTCATAATAACAGCCACTTTTTAACAAATTGGTTAAGTGAATGACTCAGTGACTCACTCATAAAATAATAAATGAATCAGTGTTGTTCAATGACTCACTCATAAAAACTGTCACTTCTCACCACTTACTGGTATAACAATGAAACCTGGAGAAAGAATAACAAAAGTTTTATTGTGTATATATAAGTTTAATATAAGTTTGAATTACTTGCTCATAAAGTAATGAATGAATCAGTGTTGTTGAATGAATCAGCTGAAATGCATTATATTTGAAGGGTTGTTTGCCAAGTATTTTAATGCATTATACTTTCTAAAAGTGTAACAATAAAAAGTATTATAATGTATTATAACTGTAGTTACAATTATTCACAAGATCATAATTAATGCATTAAAACTTATTTCATATGTTAAGGCTTTAAGTGTTACCAGTTTTCTAAGAGAATTTTAATGAGAATAATAACAATCCACAAATAAAACTTTAAAGGGGTCCTATTATGCTTTTTCACTTTTTGAATTTTAGT